AACTATGGTGGGTTTTTTTTTTTTTTGGCTGCTATTTTCCAGTATTAAACATGTCAACATTTTGCACAGGAGTCATAAAAGTTAGTGAGGTAGTTCTGATGCATTGTGAGAAGGCCGCAGGGAAGAACAACCCATCACAGACATTCCTCAGGAAATCAATTAATGCCTTTATGAGCCATAGTCCAAATATGATCAAAGGCTTAGTTCAGAATGGGGATCAGGTTATTAGATTCATATGTGTGTATACACACACACACACACACACACACACACACACACTTTCTTGAGTCCTGGTCATATATAAATACTCTCTGCTCCCCAGAAACTAAAACCTCAATGCTCTCAGAAGTAAGAGAGTGCTCCCAAGGGTAAGAGATGTCATAAGCCAGCGTGCAGAAGCTTGCTGCCTGGCGGCCGGTGGAACCTTTGATAGGTGATTTCTGTAGTCCTTCCACATTTCTGGTGGACTTTCTGTGGATCTCTGCACAGGGCATTAAATCCTAGGCGTGCTATTAAGTCACCCTGTTATAAAAGTGTGTGAAGGCACTTACTTTCTGAACACATCTCTGTGAGGCTAGAGAAGCAATTCTAAAACAGATCGACGAGTGGGAAACAATTTCAGTTTATTCCTGTAGCTTCTGCAATATTTGGGCCACTCCCTCATCCATTCGCTGTATGCAGCCTCAAACACATGACTTTACCATGAAGAAGAATGTAGACTCAGGGCAGGAATACGGAGCGGGATAATCAGTACAAAATTTCAACTCAAATCCTAGGAGGTGGTACCTTCTCTCGAATCATTCTGTACTCCAGCAATGAATCAGCCCCGACCATCACAGATCTGCCAGGCTACTGCCAGATGGATCTCGACCATCACAAAAAACCTAATAGCGTCTTAGGTGACGCTCACTGCATCTTGGCATCTGGTGAACTCAGTGACAGAAAGGCAGAAAGGGTCAAGGGATCTCCAATGGACATGTATATGTGCTTGAGCAAGGTCCTAAATACTAATCTTAGATTCTGTGTTGGAGAAGCCCAACTTAAGCAAAACACAGGAGTCTACTTTCTTCAGATGGAAACGGCTGCACCTTGCTGCTAAGATTGTAGTCTACTATGTCCAGACATCGTTCCTGAACTCAACACAAAATGGAGGACTCCCTTTTCTTAGTGGGATTTCCTCTTCTCTGTCTCATCTGGGGAGACTGACCCATACTCTACCTGAAGGATGTCACATAATTCCTGGGGAATTACAGGTTCAGCATCCTGAAATGCCTCTTCACAGAAATGAGGACTCCCCAGTATGGTAAGCCCCAGTCAATGAAGTCTTCACCCTAAGAAGAACCCTTCCCACTCGCCAAGGTTCATGTATATAGTCCTGGTTCACCCTGAGGTAAGTGTATGCATACAAGCACAACCCGAATAAAGCTACGTGTGCAAACTAAGATCATCTCAGAGAGTTGTCTTATTGAAGATCTTTGGAGAAGGTCTTCATCAAGAGAGCTGTAACACTAATATCCTCAAAGAAGTGCCCCTACCGCCTGTACTCACTCTTGAGAGGGAGGAAATTGACAACATGGAACCACAGCTGAACCCCAACATGCATACCACAGAGAACTATACACAGTAGTAGTCATGGACACACATAGGTCCAGGCACACACTGGCAGTCACATGACTAGCTGATTAGCACCATTGCTAATCTGGAGCTCAATGTACAGGGGGCGTGGCTGTGAAAAGGAGGCTGTGTCATACTGTCATACACCCCTGCTTAGTTTGCAAGTTCCATGTCTTGAACCACAGTACAAACAAGTGACATAACTTCCAAGAGTCAGTCAGGAAAAGTAACTTCTTCAAGACTTAAAGGGTCTAGGATGCAGATCTCTGTTATAGATAGGGCAGATTCTAGATGACGGTATGAAGGAGTGGGCCAAATGAATGCTCTCTAAGCAATCTTTCTTGAATGTCAGGCCTTATAGGTAAGTGTTCAATAAATTTTGATGAAGGCTTTGGTGATTATCTTAGTCACTGTTTATTGCTGTGAAGAGACAGGCATCTTGACCAAGACAACTTATAAATGAAAGCATTTAAACTTGGGGGCTTGCTTACAGTTTCAGAGGGTGAGTCTATGACCATCATAGTGGGGAGTGTGGTGGCAGACAGGCAGGCAGGCAGGCAGGCAGGCAGGCAGGCAGACAGGCAGGCAGGCAGACAGGCAGGCAGGCAGGCAGGCAGACAGGCAGGCAGGCAGGCAGGCAGGCAGACAGGCATGGTGCTGGAGCAATAGTTCAGAGCTTATAGCTGATACGAAAGCAGCAGACAGAGAGTGAGAGACTGGGTCTGTTTTGGGCTTTTGAAACTTCAAAATTCACCCCCAGTGACACATTTCCACCAACAAGGCCAGACCTTCTAATCTTTCTCAAACAGTTCCACCAGCTGGGGACTAAAATCTCAAATACATGAGCCTCTGGGGACCATTCTCCTTCAAACCACCACAATAACCTATTAAATATACCTGTACTTACTGCACACCAAATGCCATTTTAGCTAATCTATGCTTTTGTTATTTAGAATCCACAATAGTCTTATATTGGCTGCCGTGACATCGGCTGTTCTGGAGGAAGAAGACTGGAAGAGAGGGTTTATGAGGATTACTAGTTGGCAGGCCAGCCGTTGCAGTCAAGATGCCAACCTAAGCTCCTGTCCAGGTGTTGTGAAATCTTCAGTATTTCAACTGGGTTAATGTCCTTTTGTGAAACTTGGGGATCTGAAGCAAAGGGTGAAGATGAGGTCAATTTGTGTCTGCCGAGGAGCTAAAGGTATGGGAACCAATGGAAGCTGGGAGAGAATAGAAAGACTACAGTGGGAAGGAGAGGGGGAGGGGAGGGAAGAGGGGGAGGGGAGGGAAGAGGGGGAAGAGAAGGGGAACGGAGGGAGAGCTCATTTTATTTTTGTTCTCTTTTCAACTTCAAATTGAAAGTGGCAAGTGAGAGTTTAAAATGCACTCACAGACTCTTTGCTAGTTTCTTTCATGCTAAGGTCTAGTTCTTCACCCTTTCAGGGTAGCGACTCCTGACTTTAGAAGCTCTGGGACATGATAAATGTCCTAAGAAATGAGGAAATGTGGGGCTGTTTGTTACAGGACACCAGCTAATGAACACAGCCCAACAATTCTACTCCCACAAACACAAACGGAACAAGTCAAATTAAAACAAAGATTCATATTACCCAGATTTCCAAAGGACAAAGGGATACATAAATATAGCCACCCCCCTTGAGGTCAAGTTTGTTCCCAAACTCACATAACCCAAAGGCATTGAAACCATTCAAACAACGTCTAAAGCAAATTCCTGACCCAGGAAGATGGTTCAGTGGGCACTTGGCACCAAGTCCCTGACTCTGAGTGTGACCCCCAGGATCCACACCAAGTCTGTGACTCTGAGTGTGACCCTCGGGATCCACACCAAGTCCCTGACTCTGAGTGTGACCCCCCCCAGGATCCACACAGTCAGAGGAGAGAACTGACTCTCACAAGCTATCCTCAGATTTTCACCTCCAAATTAAATAAATTTATTAAATTTTTTGTAAAGTAATTTCTCAGGATTTGTAGGCTACTCATGATGCTACACTGTATTTTTTTTAAATTGAACCCAAATACACAAATATCACATGAATGTTTCCAAAATACAAAACGACTTAAAACCTTCAAAGTCCTCATAGGAATGTAAGAAACAGAGTAAAAACCAGGCCAAAGAAATCATCTGCCTTATGAAGTAATATTAAAACACAGCTTTATAGACAGAAGCATTAGGGTAACAGCAGACAGATGTATGAAATTATCCATCAGTCTAAAATGACTGGAATGCACTCGCAGAGAAAGTATTTGACAGGATTCTGATCCCTAACTGTGGCAGCCATCCTTAGGCCATCCACGGTCAATGTGGACTACACGGGTGTCTGGTGGAGACCAAGGCTGGGCCTGGGGCTTGACCTACACGGCTTTTGAGGACATCAAACTTACCTGAGTCCTACATTCGCACCAATTATGATTATTAACCCAGAGGCAACTTTTGTTTGTTTGTTTGTTTTCCTTTTTTAGGCATCGCTGCATCTTGCTATTTCAACTCTTACTTCCTTTACTGCTCAACACTGGCTTTGTGAGGTGCATCACAGGACACACAGCAAGCCTCGCTAGAACAACAGACACTAACGTATGAAGGAGAGACTTAACCAAGAGTTTGGACTGGGCGCTAAGACTTGGCTAATTGGACCCTCCTCCAGAAAGCTCCTCACAAATCCGCAATTCTAGATGACGCGTTTCCCATCAAAGATCAACAGCATTTTGTAAAACTGCACACGTTTCCTACCCAGCCTGCTTGAGATTTAATATAAGCATTAGTAGCCATCTGTCACCTGAACCTCTAATTTAGTGAGGGTTTGGGGACTGGCACAAACTTCCCCTTGATGGACAGAGGTGTGTGTGTGTGTGTGATCTGATCAGTGTGTCTGTTCTGACCTCTCAGAACATCTTTCCTTCCTCTTCCTTCTTCACTAACAGGCATCATCAACTTTGTATATGTCATTTCAAAGTGCTTTTGAGTTTTCCCGTACTAATCATTCTATTTCCTAAAACACTGAGGTGAAACAACTAAACAACCTGGGTGGGAACCTCGGTTCCTTCTCCACTTTTACTCTGAAGGTCCCCGCCCCGCATCAACTGAACATGGCAAGGGAAGTGTGAAGGTTCTGCTGTGGGGGTTAAGTGCATCTTAAAATAAACACCCCAGTAAACAGAGAGCAGACTATCCCAGCACAACTCCTCCTTCCAAAATAATTACAGTTTCATAGGTCAACTTGTACACAGGAATGAAGAAAAACACAAACTGTTTTTCTGTAATGAATTCAAATATGTCTGAGCCTGAAAGGAAAATACAAGCAGTCTTAGCATATGTACAGAAGCAAGGTGCCCACCACCAAGCACCACTGGATGTGGTCAGTACTCACCCCGCAGCCCAGGCTGTTGCCCCCTTCACAGGAGACTTTCCTCTGGCCCTGTTCAGGCAGTAGCCCAGCTCCGCAGCCAGGTCGGGGGCATAACACACCCCCCATCTGCAGCACGCATTCCTCGGCACCATACTGCTGGTACCTATTGTACTGGAAGAAGCGAAAGGCAAGGTAAGCTTCGCATGGTGACCCAGAGCAGTCTCAGATGCAGTCTTCTTTCTGCCTGAGGCTCCCAGTTGAAGGACTCTGGGATTGTGTTCTCAATTTGGTTTAGGAACGGACACACATTTGGGGGTGGGAGTGTATGGTAGTGGGGGATTTGAGGATGAGAATATGGGGGCAAAGGTGTGACCCAGCACAGAAAAACTCAAAACCAACATGAATTAGTTCATAGCCAGGCATGGTGCCAAATGCCTATAATCCCAGCACTTGGGAGGTAGAAGAAGCCCACCTGCCTAGGGACTGCACCCCTCACAGTGGGCTAGGCTTTCTTATATCAATTAGAAATTTTAAAAAACACCCCATAGACATGTCCACAGGCCAGCGTGATAGAGGTAACTCCTCAACTGAGGTTCCTTCTTCTTAGGTAACTCTGGTTCATGTCAAGTTGACAAAAACTAAGCAGCGCTCTGTGCTTCTGGAATGTCGTACTCCTGACTTCTTGTCTGAGCTCAGGTCCCCGTAGTGGTGCCCTTGGCCCATGGAGGAAACCTGGAATTCCATGGGAACACGGCACTTCTAAGTTCTGACATTATTGGATGATTTTGGCTTCTAAACTTGGGTCACTCAAATGGATTTGCTAAGTTATTCACTGATTTATGCAGCTTCTGCAGAGAGTCCACCCTGTATCCATCAGACACTCCCGAGAGTCCAATTTGAGGATGGAGCACTGGAGAAAGCCAGGAGTCCTGTCCTCATCTATGAGATGATCACACCAAACGCTGAAAGATGAACATGAACAGCATTGTGAGGGGCCATGAGTGAGGGGAATAATAACGAAGGATGGGACCAGCTCTCAGGGAAGACAGTCATCACACGAATAAACAGTGTTTGGGGAAAGCCTTACAGACAAGGCACACTTCAGTAGATTTCTGAAGGAGACGTGAAAGTAAGCCGGTAGCTCCCCAGGGAAGGAGTTCTGCAGCTAGAACAGCAGATGGTCCAAAGGTCCTGAGGCCATATATACTTGGCTGGTTTGAGCAGTGCTTCTAAGTGCAGTGGGATTGACATTGAGTGAGTCAGGAAATAGGAGAGACAGTCAAGGCAGAAGGTTCACGGGGCTCCTGGATGTTTGGGTCCCTGATGGCTATTGTAAGAACTCTGACTGTTTCTCTAAAAGATACCAGGAGCCTTGGAGAGCTCTGAGCAGAGGATTGGTATGACTTGACTGATGTTTTAAAGGCATCTGTTTGACGGATATACTCAAAATAGACTCTAAAGGGCACAGGGGATGCAGGAAGCAGAGATGCTTGCCTGAGCTCTCTTTGGCAGTCACTGTGAATGCTGACGGCAGCCTGGACCAGGGCTGTGGTGCGGAGGTGGGATCAGTGGCTGAAACTGGACATACAGAAAGGTAGAAACAATAGAACTTCCAGGCAAATTAGACAAAGAGGAGTCAAGTTTGAATGTCATACATTTCCGTTAGAAGGTGGGGAGGGAGGGAATATACTGGAATGAGGTATAGATGTGTGTGTGTGTGTGTGTGTGTGTGTGTGTGTGATATGGGAGTACAAAAAAAGAAGTCATTACTTCTGTCACACCTATGTTCAATTCCAACATTCTGACACCTGATATACAAGTACCTGGGAATGTTACAGAGTCCACTGAATGGCTTAGTTAATTTTGAAGGTGTAGGTTGTGGATACCAATGTAAAGTTCTCCTCCATTCTCTCACTTTTCTGGTCCCACGGAAACAAGGCAGGAGACCTGGAACTTCTTTATGTACATGCTAATGATCTCTACACACAATGGTATACACATACAATGTGTATCCTCAATGACACAGTCTAAGGTCTCATATTATGAGCACATTATCATTGGAGATGGCTTCCTGGGAAAATATAAGCTATGTAGTTATTAATGTAGGAAATGAGGCATTTCATTGAGTGATTAGATGATTTATATAATTGAAAGACAATATATTTTCTATTTCTCTCTACCCACCTATATATACAATTAGAAATTTACAACCAAGCTATCTCTGTGCTCGAGATAGAGCCTCATACTGGGGTCCATGCTGGCCTTGACCTTGAGGTAGCTCTCCTGCCTTGGCTTTTCAAGTGCCGGGGCTCCAGGTACAGTTAACCCCCCAGTTTTCTCACTCATGTTTTAAACTAGACATCCTTTTTCCCTTTCCCCTTTTCTGCTACACAGATTTCTTCTTAGTGCGGGGCTTTGTCTTGAGAAGAAAATTTGGCTGGTTAGATTTTTTTGGTTAGTCTCTTTGAAGTGATTTTTATTCAGATTCCCTATATCCATGATCTATCTATCTATCTATCTATCTGTCTGTCTGTCTGTCTGTCTGTCTGTCTGTCTGTCTGTCTATCTATCTATCTATCTATCTATCTATGGGTAAAAGTCAGGAGTAAGTTTAGGTCTAAGTATCTGTACTGTGAACCTCGAATAATGACTTCCCAACAGTTTGTATACACTGTAAGAATAGAATGCGTCAGTAGACTTTAACTATTAAGTTTCAATAATTAATCCAAGAATTCTAATAAAATAGTAGCAATGGATATTAATAACAGTGATTCAGGTGTCTTTATCTATACAAATAAGTTTCAAGATAATTGTTCTTAATTGGGGGTGCAGTTTACAGGTAGAGCACTTACCTAGCATGCAAAATGGCCTGGGTTTCCTTCTCATCCCAACAACAACAAATATGCACATACACATACCACAAATCCACAAATGCACACACATCATACATACCCCCCCCCACACACACAAAGCAACTGGTGATCTTATCATCTGACCACTGCTTATCAGCTCTTTAATTTACTCAAAGAGTCTCACTACTCTGATCCTGGGACAAAGGCTTTTTTTTTTTTTTAGGCAGATGTTAACCTATAGACAAATGTATAGATGTTAACCTATAGACAAAGGCTGACAGCAGATCAGAGTCTCAGAGCCTTCATTCACAAATGCCAGTGCTGTGCACAAAGCTATGCTATTCATTCTCTGCATCAGCTAAAACTGTGACTGTTATTTTACTTCTGATAAACTCAAGAGCACTGGATACACAGTTTGTTTTCTGAGGGAAGACAAATACTTCAACATACGCCTATGATTTCCAGAGATTAAAAATCACATGAGAATTTGAATGTGCCAATTGAAAGCATATGTGTGTTTGTGTGTTTGTGTGTGTATGTAAATGTGTGCATTGTTGCATGCATAGAGAAGCCAGATGGCATTGGATGCCTTGCAATATCAGGCCTCATTTTATTTGCTTGACACAGGGTCTCTTAAGGAACTTGGAGCTGTCCAGGTCGGCTAGGATGCTTGACCTGGAGCCCTATTTATCTTCTGGTCTCCTTCCCTATATCCCTTGTGTTACTGGTACTTCTAGCCAGTAACCAGAACTCAGGGTTTAAGTGGATTCTAAGAATCTGAACTCTACATTTTGTTCAACAAGTACTCTTACCCATTGAAACATCTCCCAGCCCCGCCCACCCCCCCCCACACACACACACACACACACACACACACACACACACACACACACACTTATGAGATTTGTAAGAAAAACTTTTGACCTAAAACTAACAATGTGATAGTATTTGAAGAAAGCTTAATGCCCTAAGGAAATAATTTAGGCATGTAATTAGCAAACAGCCTTGTTTAGTTTCTTTTCAAGATATGACCCATATTTCCACAGATTCCGTTTAGATTCTTACAGGCATGACAAACAGATTTTATTGAGAGCACACCACTCTAAGCTTCATGAAGAGTATAGACAGGGTGCTAAGTAGAGCAGAATATCTATGCTCACCTCGGTGTAAAATTTATGGAATTGTGGTAGGTAATTGATAAATGGGTTCCAAATGCCCAAACCAGCTGTTTCTTTAATGCTCCTTGCATTTTTTCCATGGGGGGTATTTTTACTTTCCAACCTTGGAGATCACTTTATAAACAGACCTAATTTGGAGAATGTGATTACATGATAACATAGACCAGGCCTAAGAAAATCAAAGCAAGTAATTAGACACAAATAACTTACTGTTTGCCTTTGGAATACATGTTCTCTCTCTCTCTCTCTCTCTCTCTCTCTCTCTCTCTCTCTCTC